GCCGCTAAGCGAGCTGCCCGCGTCGCCGACCAGATAACGCCATAGACCGCCGACCAGACATTCTGTCTAAAGCTAAGTCACGCTTTAATATTCTTCTAAATATTCTCCAATCTTCGTATATCGCCATAATGTTTCTCCGAGCTATTTTCTCCATGTTTGCTTTCTAAACAATTTTCTTTCATGTATACCATCTTAAAGATGACATACAGCTAAGTCTAAGGCAAATCCCCGAACAATCATGTTGATGCTCGGATGTCCCCAGAGACGGCCCTGTCTCCGGCTCCTCCCTACACGTGCACGAGCGTCTGCCCTCTGCGTCATGGGTGATCAGCAGCGGCTCCTTAGCGATGCTTTGTTCTTCCTACACACACACGTGCTCCGCGCTCCGCGTTATGGTTAACGGGCTAGCTAGGGCTGTAGACTCAGCTACACACTAACTGGTCAGGCGGTTTATATTAAATATAAATACATCTTCACATCAACTGATCGTCAAACTGCATACGCTATTTCATCACCATTGCTGATTCTTCTCCGGAGTTCATATATTTTACATCATGTACTACCCATTCTATATATTTATATTGCAGGATCATCGTCCAGGTGATCGAACCATCTGGTGCTCGAACTTCTCCTCTGATCAACTGGTCGAACCACTAGGTTCATGGACTTCGTCGCCGACCAGTTGATCGGACTATTCGCCAGTTGCTTCTACTCAATGCTCACTTCGCCGCCGACCAGTTGACCGGACTGTTCGTCGCTCATGCTTCATCACCAGCTACGCCGGAGACTCCTCGGTGCTCGAACATCGCCAGCTATGCCAGGGACTCCTTGGTGCTCGGACATCACCAACTACTCTACGCCGGGGACTCCTCGGTGCTCGGACATCGCCAGCTATGCCGGAGACTCCTCCTTATTGCTACATCTCATCGGTGTGCTATCAAGCTGCTCCATTCTGTTTAGATCAGGGTGCTGATCTTGGGCAGCATGTCTGGGGTCTTCATACGCGCATGTCAGATGACGTCGGCAAGCTTTAAGACTTCTTTTCTTTGACCCTGCTACAAGATTCATTCTTCATGTTCGAGCAGGCTCGGGGACTAAGTGGCTACACTTCACCTGACGGTGAATGTAGTGCTTATTTCTTAATTTATCCTCCTTATTGACGGAGTCTAAGCGGCTACACTTCTCCTAAGTGGAAGAATTTTCAAATTTTATCTTGAGCCCCTTACATCCTTCTAGCAAACCTTACTTGGCTAAGTTCAAGGTCTCCTAACCAGTTAAACTGGTCGGCTTCGACCTTCACCGCCCAGGTCACCAGTTAAACTGGTCGGCTTCGACCTTCACCACCCAGGTCACCAGTTAAACTGGTCGATTTTGACTTCCACTGCTCGGATCACCAGTTAAACTGATCGGCTTCACGTCAAAGTGCTCGGACTTGTTCAAGACAGCGTTGCTCAAAGGATACAAGGCGCTCGGGGACTAGCTGTGGGGGGTACGACCCTGGATACCCACGGTAGACCACATGGGCCGCACCATCATAGGTGGCCCAGCCCACAAGATCAAGGCGTGCACGGCACTGGTCGCGTGCACCGTAAGATATTGTATAGTACCAAATAGGATACTTTCCTTGTAACCCTACCCCTCCGGAACATATAAGGAGGGGCAAGGGTCCCCTAGTGGACATCGATCTCCATCAGATCTCAGATTCAATACAATACAACAAAGACACAGGACGTAGGGTATTACGTCGATTAGACGGCCCGAACCTATCTAAATCGTTGTCTCTGCACCTTCTGTCACCATCCAGTTCCTATCACACACATCTCCACCGATCAATCTACCTTCGTGGGATACCCCTCGGAGGACTGCCGGGCATCTTTTGTCGACATTTTGTGTGATACTTAGAGATTATAGTCAATAACGTTTGGTAGGTGACGTGCAACACAATCACTAGAGCTAGTGCAAGATTGCAATTACAGCCTTGTTATCATATAATTTTTTGTTCTAGTGATCGGTAGATTTTTTTATTAGGCTATTCACCACCTCTACGATCTAGAACCTTTCACCGGTGCATCCCCTCGCCTCCACACCGGTGCGGCCACAGGCAGGCGGCCCAGCTCATGGCGGGTGAGGCACCCCGTGCGGTGGAGCATACGGTGGGCAGGTGGCTTGGCGCAGCACCTTGCGTCCACACCTTGGTGTGGTCCCTCGCCTCCATCTCAGTGTGGCTGCGGGTAGGCGGCCCAGCGCTGGCACAGGCATCGGCCCAGGCGCGAGGTCCGTGAGGCAGATGCGGGCCTAGGCCCAGGCATGAGGTCGAGGAGACAGATGCGACATGCAACTTCTCTAGCGTGGGGTGACTTCTCCTGCACCGATGTGCGGGGACAGGCGGTTCTGCCCAACCACGCCAGCACTGACTGTGCGTGAGGCGGGGCAAGGAGCTGCAGACTGTGCAGCCCTGCTCTGATTTTTTTGAAATGAGTATCACTGCCAGGGATTGCCCGATAGTGCTAGCTCGACCCTATCACTGTCGAGTAGTCACTGCCAGATTAAATTCCGACAGGGAAGGTGACTTTAGACCAGACAATGATTTATTGTTTTGGCGTAGTGCCACAGGATTTCTCTGATGCACTGTTCCAGCACTCGGTGCTGTTCTAAGTGATTTTCTTCACGTCCATTTATATACATGTTTCACTTGTACGATTTCTTGGACTTCTTGCTTGTGTTCTAGGCTTCTAGCTAGGGTCTGTGTTTCTCCACTTTAATCTTCTTTAGAGTTGTTTATTCCTTGATCTTGACCGTATCCTAGCTTAAGTCCATCTTTGAATCTCACGGATTAATGTACCTTGTATAGTAGCAAACGTTGTTACTTCGAATGGTTAGGATGTCAATCACAAATTCACTAAACTCTTGATAGGGTCCATATTTTCTTATGGATAGTTTTCATGTAAAGATTAAAAAATTAGTATGGTTTGTTTTATAAGATATATAGATATAGATGTATGTACATGAATATTGCCTTTTTAAATTGAGTTAGGGTTTACCTACCTAGAGTGTTTCATAATTTACTAATGGGACTTTGATGTTTCTGCCCCCATTTCATAGTCCAATGGTGATTTTGCCCCTCATTTTTCAACTATGTGATTTTACCCTCGTTTTTTTCAAATGAAGCTCCCGTTTGCCCCTAGTTTGTAACAATGTCAGAAATGGAGGGATTAAATGCCAAAAAAAATATATGAAAAGGGGCGTACATCAAAAGACAGTGATACCCTCAGTTCCTTTCTCCTTCGTCACTTCAGTCGAACCGCTCCCGAAGTCCCGAACAAAGTCGCCCGTGTTAGGGTTTCCGGCGGCGGCGCGGCTCCTCCTCCCCCCGCTCCACACCCCAAGGATCGCGCCGCCCGGGGTTATTATTCTGCAGGTTAGATCATGTGAACTTCGAATTGCAATTCCAGGTTACATTGTGTCATGATAAACTAGAACAATAATCTGAAAGTATTAGTTAATCTTTGTGGAATCTGCATTCATGCATAGAATCTGTAGGCTCTCATGATCTACTTTAGATCATTCAGAAAGAACTCCAGGTCAAAATGAGTTTGGCTACTGCAAATTCTTTACTACTGGCAATCCAGATCTTCTAACAGATAATTGTGTTGCATTTCCATTAACTGAAGCACAAATCATTCACAAGTTGACTGGTTTGACTAGAAAATCATAACTGGCTGCGTGATCATTTTGATATGGGTTTATTAACGAGTTAAATAGTGCTGCAAATCATATTGTTGTGACTTTACTACATATTTTAGTAACTTTAATAACATAATTCTACTCTTTTTTCATATTAAGTGTAAAGAAGGGGAAGAGGACCAACTTCTGGGAGGCTTGCTACTTTGTTGGGTTTCAATGCTTGATATGTACCTCACTACTAGTTGCATAGGGAGCTCACTACTACTTCCTAGTTTTGTTTGGCATGTCATTTAGACCTATATGTTGGTGCTTGACATGTTATTTGGACCACTATGCTGACATCTATTATGGTACTGTAATGGCATGTTATATGGATCTGGTTTGTTGCCGTTAATGCAATATGTGTGTTATTAGTTTGTTATGTGATATTAAATTCTATTTATATAGATTGTCAGCTGAAATGTTGCCGAATTTTTCTAAAAATTATGTGTATAGAATGTCAAACTTGCTGGTCTAAAACCAGGGGCAAAAACACAAATATCATATTAAAACAGGGGTAAAAACACATGGGCAAGGTTGTACTTTTGTCCAAAAGTTAACACCGTTAAAGGGGCTTAACAGACCAGGGGTAAAGTCTTCATTCGTTTCGAAAAAGTAGGGGTAAAATGACAAAGTTAAAAAAACGAGGGCAAAATCACCATTTCGCTTCAAAATAGGGGTAGAAACGCTAAAGCCGCTTTACTAATTTATTGTAGATTTTAAATATTTGTATATCTTATACTTTAGGATAGTGGGAGTATAAAACATGGAACAAGCTATATAAACTTAAGGTCTCTTTGGCATAGCTCAGTTCACAAGCAGCTTTTTTAGTGAAGTTGAGCTGTTTTCGAAAAAGTGTTTGGCAAAATAACTTCACCAACACCTCATGAGGGAGAGAGCTGGAATAAGCTACTATTTTCAGATTCATCCCACATGTCCTTGTGAAACTGTTTTTAAAATGAGTGTTGGAAAAAAAAAACAGCTCACGAAGCTGGTGATCTCAATAATGCACCCTTACAGCTAGATGCCGTGTAATCCAGTTTGGAAAGTCAATGCCATCATAACTATCCAATTTGGGGAAAAAGAAATGGAACTAGTCAAATGTCAGACGGAGAACATGCACAAACATGGCACACATGACCGTGTAAAAAGATACTAAGATGACACAATAAACCAAACTTCTATATAAACTAACAAGGCCAGCACCGTGGAACACAACACCTAAATATAAACTAACAAAGCAGCAAGCCGCTGCAGCAGCGCCGGCCGGCTTCAGCATGGCTCAGCAGCAGCACCTCCTGCTCGCCGCTGCTGTGCTCGCCTTGGTAGCAGCCGGCAGCTGCCATGCCTTCCAGATCGAGGAGGCAACCATCGACGCCATCCATGCGGGCTTCAACAACGGCAGCCTGACATCCGCAGCGCTCGTCCGGTTCTACCTGGACCGGATCAGCCGCCTGAACCCGCTGCTCCACGCCGTCATCGAGGTCAACCCCGACGCGCTCCGGCAAGCTGCGCGCGCCGACGCCGAGCGGCAGTACTCGGGCCGCCGCCGTCCCTGCCACCGCTGCGGCCGCGGCGGGCTGCACGGCATCCCCGTGCTGCTCAAGGACAACATCGCGACGCGCGACCGGCTCAACACGACGGCCGGATCCCTGGCGCTGCTGGGGTCCGTGGCGAAGCGGGACGCCGGCGTCGTGCGCCGGCTGCGTCGGGCGGGCGCCGTGGTGCTCGGCAAGGCCAACATGGAGGAGTGGGCCAACTTCCGCAACTTGGAGGGCACCGACGGATGGAGCGCGCGCGGGGGCCAGGGCCGGGTAAGCTGCTGCCATTTTTCAGTTTGAGGAATCTGCCATTTTCCCAGCAGCTAGATGCTGCCTAATCCAGAATTTCTGGGTGATCTTCAACGTGTGACACAGAACCCGTACGTGCTATCGGCGGATCGGTGTGGGTCGAGCACCGGTTCAGCGATAGCGGCGGCGGCCAACCTGGCGGCGGTGACGCTGGGGACGGAAACCGACGGCTCCATCCTCTGCCCGGCGTCGCTGAATTCCGTGGTTGGGATCAAACCAACGCTGGGGTTGACCAGCCGGGCTGGTGTCATCCCCATTTCTCCCAGGCAAGACACAATCGGGTGAGTGATCAACTTGTTACAGTTACACTAGTGTATTGGTTTGTGCGTGCCCAAGATCCAATGCGCCATTCTCAGTAGTATTTTGCAGAGTAACTGTGACAAAGGGCTCCATATATATATAAACAACTGACGAGTCAACGGGTAGTTTTACGCGAAAACAGTCATGGTGCCCTTGATCTACTTTACGGCATGTTTGGATCCTCGTGTCTAAAGTTTAGCTGACTAAAGTCGAGGACTAAAGTTTCAGACCATTTAAGTTCACTTGTGTGGTCTAAAGTTTTATGAGATAATCACTTTAGACCACGCTTTAGATCCTTCTATTTGAAGCCTCAAGAGCTAAAGTAGTCTAAAGTTGAGTGGACCACGGGATTCAAACATGGCCTTAATTTCACTCTACAGGGCTTGGGTCCCCCTAGCTATAGCTAGTGCTTCAATGCCTACACTACCGGAATTCTCAAATTTATCGAGTGTTTTTGTGTTTACCGAGTGTATTTTCTCGGGCACTCGGCGAACAAGTTCTTTGCCGAGTGCTGCTTTAAAAACACTCGGCAAAAAAAAACACTCGACAAAAAGGGGGTTTGCCGAGTGTCAAAAAAAACACTCGGCAAACAGAGGATTTGTCGAGTGTTAAAAAAACACTCGGCAAAGAAATAAAATCTTTTTTTCTGAAAAAAAGAAAGAAAAAAATGAAAAAAGCTTTGTCGAGTGCTAGATCTGAAACACTCGGCAAATGAAAAAAAAGCTCGCCTCGGTCCACGCGCCCGGCCCCTCCTCTCCAAATCCGCCACCACGTGCGCTCAGCCCCTCCTCCCCCTCTCCTCTCTAGGCCCCTCCTCCCTCTCTCATCTGCGCCCGGCCCCTCCTCCCTCTCTCCAAATCTGCCGCCGTGGCCCCTCCTCCAAATCCGCCGCCCCGACCTCTCCTCCCTCTCTCCAAATCCGCCGTCGCACCCCTCCTCCAAATCCGCGGCCCCTCCTCCAAATCCGCCGCCCCCGCCCCTCCTCTCAACTTTCTTCGCCGGATCTGGTCGCCGCACCGCCCCACCTCCCTGGATCCGGCGGGGACCCCACCCCTCCTCTCCCTTTCTCCGGCCACCGCTCCGCCCCTCCTCTCACCTTTCTTCCCCGGATCCGGCCGCCGCACCGCCCCTCCTCCGCCGGATCCGGCCCCTCCCCTTCCGTCCTCCCTTCTTCCCCATCGAATCCGGCCCCTCCCTTCTTCCCCGTCGTGGCGTGGCGCGGTGGGGCTGCCTCTCACCCTAGTGGCACCCGGATCCATGCCGTGGCGTGGCGCGGCCTCTCTCCCTCGCCGGTGCTCAGATCCACGGTGGCAGTGGCCGGAGGCAGTGGCCGGTGAGCACGCGTCCTCGCGGCAGCTATCTCCCGCGACGCGGATCCAGGGCCCCCACCATCGTTGGCAGTGCGGATCCATGGCGGGGCGACCCCCACCCGCGGAGGCGGCGGCCAGCGCCGGTGCAAGGGGGTGGCCAGATCCAGCTCCCTCCCTCGTTCGCTCAGCACGGCGGCGTGGATCCAGGGCAGAGAAGGTGGCCGCGGATCCAAGGCAGGGAAGGCGGCCATGCCGTCGCTCAGCACGGCGGTGTGGGCCCAGACTCCCTCCCTCGCTCGGTGGCGGCGCGGATCTGGCTCAGTGGCTTCGACAACGGCGGACACGGCGGAATCTAGCACGGGAGCGGCAGATCCAGCATGGGAGGATGGCCGGACCGTGGGGAGGTGGCGGCGGAGCAGGAGGTGGTGGTGGCGGCCGGTGGCTGGTGCTTGTTTTTTTTTCAAAAAATGTTTGCCGAGTGTTTTTTTGCACTTGGCAAAGTCTTTGCTGAGTGCCCGACAAAAACACTCGGCAAAACAGCGTTTGCCGATAAACCGTTTGCCGAGTGTTGTTTGCCGAGTGTAACACTTGGTAAACGGTTGCCGAGTGTTTTTTCGGGCGAAGCTCCTGTATCCAGTAGTGCTACCAATCCTTTTACATAAAAAAATTAAACTTCCGCTAGCAAACAAATTTAGGTTACCCATGATTTTGTGAAATAATTTGGTCTTGAAAAATAGAAAGTGCTTGGATGTAATGATGTTTGTGCTTTTGAAATCTATGGTATTGATAAAACTATAGTCTTTTTGGAGTTTTAAAAACTCCACTCTACCTCTCTTTTTGGAGTTTTGAACATCTCTTATTCTAAAACAAAATTTTCTTGATACTACAAATTTACAAAACCGCAACATCCATTCAGTAACAAGCAAAGAGAAAATCAGTTTGGAATTTTATTTTATTTTATATTATACTACTCCCTCTATTTTAAATTATAAGATGTTCTGGTTTTCTAAATACATTGCTATAATTATGTATTCAGACATATTGTATATATATAAGTGCGTAGCAAAACTATGGATCTATAAAAATCAAAACGTCTTATAATTTAGAATGGAGGAAGTAATATAGATTGGTCACCATTATTCATAGAAATTGAAAACCACATCCAAAGGGTAGTTTCTACAACTGCCAGTACACACGAGGAATTTGTAACAAGCCAGCATTTATTACTTGAGGTGCACTTTCCATGCACATTGTGGTTGCGCCAATACCACATGCTCAAAATGTGCTTCTGGCTCAGGTACTCATGTTAACAAGCCTACATATGTATTACACATCTTTTTATGGTTTTGTCCATGCACGTTTAGGGTAAAAGGGATTAACCTAGAGCTGTTATGTTTCGAGCGATAAATAAGATTATAAGCCAGTTCTCACTCACCTAATATTTCAAGATGGAGACCTTGGATGGATAAACCCGTTCTCATTCACCTAAACTTTCAAGATGGTACTACCTCGGAACATTGTTCCATTATCTAAAAATATTCTTCTTCTTAATGAAATGACACGTAGCTCTCCTGCGTCGTTCAAAAAAAATTATCTAAAAATATGAGCCAACTACTATGCTACTAATGGATGGTTATTTTATGGGTTGACGCCGTCGGTAGCTCATCATATATGTGGCGAAGGTACTATAAACAAGCTACTAATGGCCAGGGTATTATAGCTGAAATGACAATTGCCTCTAGAGAACAAAACATCTCTAAAAATTGTTTCTATAACATATTTATTCGACGTAAGAAAATAATGCACAATAAGTAGAATTGTCTCCCATCAAATAAAGCAAAATTAAATTATTGCAATGTTCAAATATCGAACAAAAAGAAGTCATGATATTGGCAATGTATTTTTTGCTTTACTCTTACTGCAGGCCAATTTGCCGCAAAATGTTTGATGCAGTCAAAGTGCTGGATGCCATTGTTGGTTATGATGTCCATGACGCGAGAGCCACAAAGACGGCATCCAGGTACATCCCTCGAGGTGGATATATGCAGTTCTTGAGAACTGATGGCTTAAGAGGCAAGAGAATTGGCATACCCAACGGATTTTTCAATTATCCAAATGGGACCGTTCAGCAAGTGGCTTTTCGTCAGCATCTTGACACAATGAGGTACTGAGTTTGAAACTTGAATTAGAACATAGTAATTATGTAGTTAATAATCATATGTAAAAAACTGTACAACAATCTGAAAAGGAACTAGCTAGGAAGATAAGAAGCAAATTACTAGAAAATATTTACCATTTGTGTGCTTTAGACGAAAGTGATTCCATTTCCTTGCAGATACGACTACCTTCCTACTCAAACACATGACTATTTATAATCATCTTACACAATATATATTGGTAATATCTACATAATTCCATGAACCATTAGTTTAGAAAAAGGAAGGTACACATGAACCATTGGCTAATACTTCCTTCGCCTCAAAAAACTTGATATGTTTTAGGATTTTTAGGACAGATTAGTACTTAATCCAAATTACTCATATACTCTTATTTGTTGAAGGTGAACCATGCTAATTAAGGAATGCATAAAGATATTGTAACCTGATATGGATCAAATCTATTGTCCAAGAGCTAAAACATCAAATTTTTGGGACATTTTTTAATCCTAGAACATCAAATCTATTAATTTTATCCTCTTTGCTGAAATTATTTTTGAGCATCGGATTAACATATGACTATGATCTGTCCCTTAAAACACAAGTACAAAAGATATATAAAATCATTCCATGATATACTTAGCAATTACATTTTATTTTGAAGGAAACATGGAGCAGTCCTGATTGAGAACATAGACATAGCAAATCTTAGTGTCATATTAGATGTTCTAAGCAATGGTGAACAGATTGCATTACCAGCAGAATTCAAGTTAAGCATAAACTCTTATTTGTCGGATTTATCATACACTCCAGTCCGTTCCTTGGCTGAAATAATAGCATTCAACAGTGATCATCCCATTGAGGTATGGTTTCTCGAAACTTTCACTTTCTGTTTATTTTTTTTTATCCTGATACCACACATTTTAGTCTGAGCTTGATCTGGATTTACATTCCTTGGGGCATATTTTGATCTGTGTTTATAGTGTTTGAAAGAAGACATATTTTGATTTGTACACTACGGGAATCAGGAGATTTGCCAAGTGCCCCTGGCACTCGGCAAACGACACTCATTGAATTTTTATCGGCAAACAGACTTTGCCGAGTGTTTTTTGTCGGACACTCGGCAAAGACTTCGCCGAGTGCCCAAAACACACTCGGCAAATATTTTTTTCGAAAAAAGCCACCACAAAAAAAGCCAAAAAAAGCCACCTGGATCCGGCGGCCACGAGCCACCACCACCACGCCACTGCCGCCCACCACCACCACGCCACCACCCGCCACGCCGGGGAAGAGAGGGAGAGGAGGGCGTAGCCGCCGGATCCGGGGAAGAGAGGGAGAGGAGGGGGCGGCCGGGCGGGATCTGCCGCCGGGGAAGAGAGAGGAGGGGGAGGGGCGCCGGCGGTGGGAAGAGAGGGAGAGGAGGGGGCGGCAGCTGGATCTCTGGCCAGCCGGGAAGAGAGAGGAGGGAGAGGAGGGGGAAGGGCACCGGCGGTGGGAAGAGAGGGAGAGGAGGGGGTGGCCGCGCCGGGGCCGGATCCGGCCTCCCCATGCGCCACCGTCGTCGGATCCGCCCGCGCCGGGGCCAGATCTGGTGGAGGAGGGAGGGAGGTGCGCTGGCGAGGGAGGTGGGGAGGGCGGGCCGCACCGGCGAGGGAGGAGGGGAGGGCAGGCCGTGCCAACGCCGGAGAGGGAGGAGGGGAGGGCGGGGCCACGCCGGGGCCGAGAGGGAGGAGGGGGCGGCGCGAGGGAGGTTCGCGGGGAGGGGGTGGCGCGTGCCCGTGCGTGGAGAAGGGGAGGGGGCGTGCGGACGGCGCGGGGAGAAGGGGAGCCCGCGGCGCTGGGGTTAAAAAATGATTTTTTTTTTCGTTTGCCAAGTGTCCTAGATTTGGGCACTCAGCAAAGATTTTTTTTCATTTTTTTCTTCTCTATCTTTCCCAGAAAAAAAATGTTTTTTTTACTTTGCCAAGTGTCCTAGGTCTGGGCACTCGGCAAAGTTTTTTTTTCATTTTTTTCTTCTCTTTCTTTCCCAGAAATTTTTTTTTACTTTGCCGAGTGTCCTAGATCTGGGCATTCGACAAAGATTTTTTTTTTCAATTTTTTCTTCTCTTTCTTTCTTAGACAAAAATATTCTTTTACTTTGCCGAGTGTAAAAAAAAACACTCGGCAAACCCCATCTTTGCCGAGTGTTTTTTTTGACACTCGGCAAACCACCTGTTTACCGAGTGTTTTTATGGCAGCACTCGGCAAAGAACTTGTTTGCCGAGTGCCCGAGAGAAAACACTCGGCAAACACTGAAACACTCGGCAAATTTAACGTTTCCGGTAGTGGTACTTCCAGTAAATTATCTGAAAGAGGACAACAATATATTGGAAAGCCATATATTTAATGGATTACACATGCGTCAAAGAAAAGGTCCATGTGCACTTAAAGGTATATATGAAGATTAATTATGGATCTATGAAAATTAATTATTGGTGAACTAAATGTCCAAGTATAATTGATCAGACAATCTTTTCAAATGTTTCGCAAGCTTGAAGATTCCGAGAGCTAATTTCATAGAAGGTACCCTAAGCTTGGAGAAAATATCATAAAACTATATTTTCAAGAAATGGTTTCTTCATTAAAACTAAATTGTCATTGGCAACCTATGTCATTAAGCGGTAATTGTATTGAAATTAATGGAAACTTCCTTCATAAAAAAAATGCCACCAAACTGTACTTTTGAGAAGCAACTTCACAAAACTAAGATTCAATTGTCCTACCTTATCATGGCATTTCATATCACACAAAAGCTATACTTAAGGGCTTTGCAAATGTGTAGCTTTATGGTATATGGCAATGGCAGTGTAGCTTTATGAAATGTATTCTTGAAAGTGCATTTTTCATAATAATATGTATATCAAGGAAAAATGAAAGGTTAGTGAAAAATGGGTTCTGAAAGTATAATTTGCAAAAAAAAAATATTGTAATGTAATCTTGTAAAATTTACTCACAATCCAATTATTCCAGGAGAGGCTCAAAGAATTCGGGCAGCTTATCTTCCTCATGGCTGAAAATACTACTGGCATTGGTGCGCCCGAAAGATCCGCAATCCAGGAACTGAACAAACTGTCAGCTAACGGATTGGAGAAGCTGATGAAGGAGCTGAAACTGGATGCTATTGTGACACCCAATGACAGCGCTGCCTCTGTTCTTGCCATTGGTGGCATGCCAGGAATCACTGTCCCTGCTGGATATGGTAAACTGGGAGTCCCATTTGGTATTTGCTTTGGAGGGTTGAAGGGCTATGAGCCGAGGCTTATTGAGATGGCTTATGCGTTTGAGCAAGCTACCCGAGTGCGAAAGACTCCCACTTTCACACCATAGTACGTATAGAGGGATAGCTCGAAACACGTACTTTTATGGTGCGAAAGAGAAAGAAATAAAGTATTTTTCTTGTACTCATGTTTAAAACGTGTGCGCAGTGGAGCCACAGGGATCCCATTTAATCTTCATTTCGCCTTGGAATATAAAATGAAGTAACAAACAAATCTTTCGTACTCTACATGTCATGGCCCAGCAGGAGGAGCGTAAGCTTCACGTGTTTTAATATAAGCAAAGTTTTACCGTGTTTGGAAAAAACCAGTGCCATCATTTGATAGATCGGATGGCTATAAAATAAGAACAACCCATATAGAGAAACTTAAGTTGTAGGACGGAATTTAAAATATGTCAGTCCGGAACAAAAATATATGAGTCAGGAATTATTTAGAAAACAAATTTAAAGGGTATAATAATATTTTCAGTCGCTTATCTTCCTGCGCTGGCTCTATCTCCTTCACGCGAGCTCTATCTCCTTTGTGTCTCTGCAGCTGCCTCCGTCTCCAGCACCGGCGGCACGGCTCACGCGACCCTGCTGGAGCACCGCAACAGCGCCGCGACGTGGCCACGCAATAGCGCTGAGCTGCCTCTGGCCATCTCACTCGTGGGTCGCGGGTCGCGGCGTGCAGCCCCACAGCAGCATCGCCGCGACGCAGGCCCGCAACAGTGCCGGCCCGCCTCCGGCCATCTCGCTCGTGCCGCTTCGCCCTCGCGCACCCTAGCAGCGGCAACGGCCGTGTCTACGGCCCTCTCCCTCTCCACCACCGCGACCTCCTCCTCGCTCAGCCACAGCCGATCCTCCTTCGCTTCACCACCTCCATCTGATTTCTGCCCCAGCCTGCTTTCCCCACCACCACCGGGCCCTATCCACGGACAGCACCGGCCAAGAAATCACCGCTTACCTGCATTGGTCCACCGCCGGCGCGGCGCCAACCACAAATCCTAGGCTGGCTTCAACCTCCGCTGGCGGTGTCACGGTGGCGCGACGCGTCCCGCAGCAACCACAACGCCGCCACGACTGCGACGCTCCGCAATAGCGACGCCCCACCTGCGGCCATCTCAACGCGGCCCCGCAGCAGCGACGCCCCACCTTCTGCCATCTAACTCGCGCGACACCTCGCCCTTACGTAGCGAGGTTGTTCCCCAGATTCGTATCCTCTCCTGCAACTCCCTCCCTCTCGACGTGCAGGCGGCGTGGCGGGCTGCGGCCCCATGCGAGCGCACTCACCATGTGCGGGCTCTGGCGCAAGTGCCCTCCCGCGGATCCGAGCGGCACCGCGTCAGTTCATCCGCTTAGGGAAAGGATAGGAGAAGAGAGAATTCCTTATTTGACACTGGGAAAATGAGTCGTTACTTTTTTGGCCTTAAATTTTTTTTCGTTCCCTATTTAACACTCACTTCAACTTTCGTTCCTAATTTGACACTGCCGTCAAATCCGTTAGCTAACGGTGTTAACTGGCCATTAAAAAGACATTTTTGCCCCTAGAAAAAAAGCGGCGAAGCAAATTTGAGAGGAAAAAAAACCTGGGCCTTTTTTTTTGTAGCTAGGCGCATGCATCAGAGGCGGGCGCAGGTTTTTTTTCCTCTCAAATTTGCTTCGCCGTTTTTTTTCTAGGGCAAAAACGTCTTTTTAACGGCCAGTTAACACCGTTAGCTAACGGATTTGACGGCAGTGTCAAATTAGGAACGAAAGTTGAAGTGAGTGTCAAATAGGGAACGAAGAAAATTTCAGGGCCAAGAAAGGAACAACTCATTTTCCCAGTGTCAAATAAGGAATTCTCTCAGAAAGGCATGTTGAGTACCCAATGGAATGACCATATTACCCTAATTACTTTTAATTATCCTCAAGGTATTTGTGAGGAACCATGACGTCTGAGAGACATGGTAAATTAGGCAACTTAAAAATCTATTTTTTATTATGGCCTCTGAATTTTCACATTAGCAAAGCCTATGCAGGAAAGTAATCTATCTAAATGTGCAACTACGACTTTGCTAGGTGTGTTGCTATCTCTATTGTAAAAGAGTTATACAACCCAACTAACCTATCAACTAAGTTAGGAAAGTAAAGTACACAACCAAGGTAACAATGTAAATGCGGAAGGTAAAAATGAGGTAGAGATGCAAACTCCCGTCGACGACTCCAGTATTTTTACCGAGGCATCAACAAGCACCCAAGCTTTCCCCTAGTCCTCGTTGGAGCCCCTCGCAAGGGCCAAGCTCCCGGTCACGTAACTCTGTGGTTAGCCCCAGGCCTTCCCCACGTGCAAGCGGGTCGGTGTGCCTTCCGGCAAGCCTCTCCTAGACCGCTCTCCACCATCTTCACTATCAAGCTTCCGGCCGAACTGCCACAGGCCTTGTTCCCTTCGGTATACGGTGGCAGCTATACCAAAAACACGGTTGGTGTGGTCTGACAAGACTACAAGCCCCGCCGAGAACAACAATGGTGCATGCATGCACCGAGAGACGGGAGGTGTGCAAACCTCACTAAACACTAGGCCTAAACTTAGAGCAAGCGTATAAGCGATGGTCTAACTAACCTAAGCACTTCGCAAAACACATACGCTAATCATCTAATATTTCGCTAAGCACTTTGGTGTCTAGAGCAACTATGATTGAGTCTCAACTCATAGAACAATTCCTTGGGCTCACGCACCTAAAATGGCCAGCCATGGGGGTATTTATATGCCCCAAGCGAATAGAGCGGTTGGTCCTTGGGAGGGGCATTTCCTGCACTGATCGGACCCAACTCTTGGTCCGGACCGGACTCTCCTGGCAGAGTCCGGTCGCTCCTCAATGACCATTGAAGCCGATCGTTGAATTGCACACCTGAGACTGACAGTGGGTCATGCTTTTGAACCGGACTCTGGCAGGGTCTAGCCGCTCGCTCCGGACTGGGTCTGGTCGCTTCGCGTCGTTTAGAGTTCTTCTGTTGACTCTGGATCGGATGCGCCCTTGATGACCAGACGCGCAGGTCGCAGGGTCCAGTCCTCACTAAATCCTGTGGTTTAGTGGCCGGACGCTGAACTGAGGGTCCGGTCGCCCTGAAGTCAAGGTCTGGTCGACCCTGTTGCACTTCGATGACTTCGCTACCCTTCGTCCATCTTGATTCTTATCTTTGTGCTTGAACTTTGCTTAACTTCTTGAGCTTTCCATTGTGCTTCTAATGCCTTGCATGAAGTGTTGATTATCGGATCACCTCGTTGCCTTCATCCAAGTCACGTTTGCATCCTATTGGACTACAAAACAAACACTTGCAAATTCATTAGTCTAATTTAGTTGTGTTGGTCATCAAACACCAAAATCCAAAGTAAATGGACCTAGGGTCTATTTTCCTTACAGTATTTTTTCTGGCCAAATAAATATTCCTTCCAAGCACAGTAACAAAGCTCTAAATATAAATATAAATATAAATATTAGTGTGTTCTTTGCTACCACAAAAAAGAACTAGCACCAACAACAGCGAGCTAGACATGTATACTTGAAAGTGTATTTTTTTCTAAATAGATTAGTAAATATATCAAGGAAAAATGTTGTTTTGTGAAAAATGGTTTCTGAAAGTATAATTTGCAAAAGTGTTTTATTTTGTCGTATAGCTAGTGAGATCTTGTAAAATTTACTCAGGATTCAATTGTTAGGAGAGGCTCAAAGAACTCGGCAGCTTTTCCTCATGGCCGAAAGCACTACTGGCATTGGTGCTAATGGATTGGAGATGCTATTGTGACACCAAATGACAACGCTGCCTCGGTTCTTGCCATTGGTGGCATGTCAGAAATCACTGTACCTGCTGGATATGGTGAACCAGGAGTCCCATTTGGTATTTGCTTTGGAGGGTTGAAGAGCTATGAGCCTAGGCTTATGGAGATGGCTTATGCATTTGCGCAAGCTACCCTAGTGCGAAAGTCTCCCACTTTCGCACCATAGTACGTATAGAGGATAGCTAAACACATACGGAGCGAAAGAGAAAGAGAAGTATTTTTCTTGTACTCATGTTTAAAGCTAAAAACATACCAAGCGAAAGAGAAAGAAAAGTATTTGTGAAAGAGAAAGAAAAGTACTTTTCTTGTACTCATGTTTAAAGCTCAAAACATGGTGAGCGAAAGAGAAAGAAAATTATTTTTCTTGTACTCATGTTTAAAATGTGTGGACAGTGCAGCCACACATGGATCTCTTTCAATCTTCATTTCCTAATCACGCTTTCGTAGCCTTGGAATATAAAATAACAAATCTTTCGTAGTCTGGTATGTGATAGCCCAGCAGGAGCGTATTGCTTCACACGTCTATAAATATAAATATTAATGTGTTCTTTGCTACCACACACACAAAAAGAAACTAGCACGAACAACATCGAGCTACACACACATATATATAAGAGTGTACGGCCAGTGTTGGAGCTAGAGATCGAGCCTGCGTGCGTCGCATCCTCCATATGTCGCTTAGAAACTATGCAGGGCACTACCAGATGCGGTGTTTGTCGGCGCCAGAGAAACTAGATGCTGCGAAACCACGCCGCCGGTCGGCGAACTGCCAGCCCACGTCCTCGGACTACGAGTCTACGACGCCCTTCTGTCACTCGCTTCAGGCAGACCTGATCAGGTAAGTTCGTATGGTTTGTTTAGCTGATAGTGGATCGTAGTAGTACAGGTTTCCGTACTTTCCTCCATCGAAATTATAGGATATGTGACAGAGCAAAAAAATATAGTGGTCTCTTCACTAGTAGATAAATGACTTTTGATCCACTTTAAAATTTAGTTTTAGTCCTGATATTTTTCGCGCTCGGGACTAGAGAAACCTTTAGTCCCGGTTGGTAGCTCTAACCGGGACTAAAGGTCCCTACCCAACGGCTACTGCGGCAGCCTTTTGCTGCAGGGGACCTTTAGTCCCGGTTAGAGCTACCAACTAAGACTAAAGGTTAACTTTTACTCCCGCTTGGTCCCTCCAACCAGAAGTAAAAGTCTACTCCTAGCTAGAGGCTCCGTCCGGGACTAGAAAGGGACCTTTAGTCCCAG